ATAGTTCACAAAATGCATCAGATAACATTCCAGAAGTAAGAACTTATATAACCATTTCACTTAAACTGCTTAGTAAATTCATGCGGTTGCTGCCAATACTGCTAAACAATTTAGTCTTTAACCATGTGAAGTTAGTATTTTTCTTTTTTTTTTTTGTTGAAGTAATGCAATTCATTCAAGTTTTAATTTGCAGAAGAAGAGTAGTTTATTTTTGAAACTTAAATTCGCAACACGAAACTACAACTCGAAAATGAAATTCGCAACATGAAAATCGCAACTCGAAAATGAAATTCACAAGTCGAATTTTGAATTCGCAACGCGAAAATCGCAACCAAAATGTCTCAAAATCTCTTTAAAACTTACAAAATTTACTTCAAACATAAAATAAATTGACTTTCATCTATTGCTTTTATCATTCAACCAAAATGAAATCGAGATATAGTTTTTCTCGTTTTCCTCCGCCTTTCTATTATTGAAGGGCCATGAAGAAGTGGTAAGGATTTTAGGTAGTTTGAATTCATGGGAGTGGATATGGATGTGATAAATTTTGATTTTATTTATGATTTTATTTAATAAATACTTTTAGAGATTTTCATAAATTAAATATGTAATGATTACCCTATACTACCATGATATATTTTTTAAGTGATTGGTTATTTAACGATTTTAAATTTTAAATATACTAATATGTGATCAATAACTTTGAATTTAAAGTATATCAATTTAAAATTATTTTTTATGAGTTATTTGTTTTTGTTTTAATTTTTTTAATAGTTTAAGATTATTATAATATAGTATTTGTTTATAATATTTTAATATATTATTCACGTTTACACATTTTACATATGTCGCTACTTGAACTCAAGATCTCTAAGAATATCAAAGTTTTCTTTTCTCCTTAATCAATCTGAAGTGAATATAAAATAATATATGTTTAAATATTATCTTTTAATATTAAGATCACTTAATATTATCTTTTAATATTAAGACTGACTACCTGGAAGACTGCTTTGGAAGAAAAAGGTATAAGGATCAATATTGAAAAGACAGAGTATTTATGTTCAAACTTCAGTGGGAACCAAAACGATGAAGATGTAGAAGTATGAATAGAAGGACACGTTCTCCCCTCAAAGGATTGTTTCAAGTACCTAGGGTCTATGATACATAAAGATGGGGGTGTAGATGATGACGTTACACACCGTATAAGGGCAGGATGGCTAAAGTGGAGGGCTGCTACTGGAGTTTTGTGTGACAAGAAGGTGCCTCTAAAGCTTAAGGGAAAATTTTATAGACTGACAATAGGACTAGTGCTGCTGTATGGATCAGAATGTTGGGCAATCAAGAAGGATCATGTAAGGAGGATGGAGGCTGTAGAAATGAGAATGCTTCGATGGGCATGTGGTAGGACTCTGTGGGACATGACACCAAACTCTGCTATTAGGATGTCCTTGGGGGTGGTTCATGTATCCAAAAAATTGAGGGAGGGAAGACTACGGTGGTTTGGGCATGTCCTTAGGCGACAACCACCAGATGTGGTCAGGAGGGTAGAGTTGATTACAATCGACGGTGCTAGAAGGAGAGGACGACCAATGCGGAAGTAGGAAGACTGTTTGAGATCTTATTTGAAGGATTTATCCCTTACCGAGGACTTGACCTCTGATAGGAAAATATGGAGACTTAAGACCAGGGTAGCCGAGTAGTGCGGGTCACATCCATAGGATGTATCATCTCTGTCTTTTTTTAATGCATTTGTAGTAATTTCCATGACTTCTACTTTTTATATGTTTCTATCATTGGAATTTATGAAGGCTTAAAACTAGGGTAACAGAGTTGTGTTGCCTTAGTTTAGGTTTTAACCCATTTGACTTTATTCCTTCTCATAGCTTGCTATCGTTAACTTATGTGTATCATGCTCTCCATGTTTCCTCTTTTTAAATTTAGCCGGGTCTTACGTTTCTGTCTATATGCATAGATATTTAGGCAGGAATTTATTTGCATGGATTACTTCCCATTACAAACGCGCATATGAAGACTGCATATAAAGACTGCTCAACTATTTATTTATTTTATTTATTTATACATGCATTGCATTTTATCTTTATTTTTAATTTTCTGACTACCGGAGGTCTTCCACGGAAGCTGCTCTCAGCCTGGCGTTGGGGGCAGTCTACTACCCTACCTCCCCCTTACCCTATTGCATATAGGAATAGAGTTTTGTTGTTGTTGTTGTATTAAAATCACTTAATTACAAAAATAATAATAATAAATCAATATAACTATAGCAGGCGGACCCCTTAAAATAAAATGAATAATAAACTATAAGGTTGCTCATTTTTTTAAAATTTTGTACACTTTTACTCGTTAAATTTAAAAAAATATAATATTTGGTACTTTTATTTTTATTTAATTAATATGCAGTCATTGAGAGTTAACTGTCCTTAGACTTTTAACAGATCATTGATGTGACATAGTAAATATATAAAACTAAAAAATATAAACTATAGAAATATACATTAATATTTGAGTAAGTTTTTTTTCTTACTAAAGTTTAAAAAATAACAAATTAATCAAAAACTATTTTGCAGTATAGGTATTATGCTCCTTTCTATTGCTCACAATTATTGTATGATGTTATATTCTAAAATGGACCTTCTTCATCGTCAACATGAGGAAGTGATGAGAGTGAGAGCTGCTGCTTTTTAACATCAGCAAAGTCTGGCTGCTGCTCAGATGATGGTTGGTGTTTTTCTCCCCTTACATTGCCAAAAAAAAAAGATTTTTTTGCAACAATCCCCTTAGCTCTTGTCCACATTGTTTCGGATTTTCAACTTACTTTCCATTGAACCAAATGGTGACACATGTCATCATCTGAGTGGTAGGAAAATAATTAAATTTAATAAATTTAATTTATAAAAAATGTTCAATTAGATGTTGACACATGTCACAATTTGATTAAAGGAATAAATTTATTGAATTAAATTAAAATTAGGATCAAATTGATAGAATATATAAGTATTGATGACTAAATATATAATTATACTACTTTTATTAACTATCACATTAACACTTTCGTCAATTGTTAATGGCAGGTGACTTAATGAAATATAGTATTTGTTTATAATTTTTTACTATATTATTCACGTGTACACATTTTGCATATGCCGCTACTTGAACTCAAACTCTCTAAGAATATTAATGTTTTCTTTTCTCTTTGATCAATCTAAAGTGAATATAAAATAATATACGTTTAATTATTATCTTTTAAAATTAAGATCACTTGATTACAAAAATAATAAAATAATAAATCAATATAACTACACCAGGCAGCCCGCTTAAAATAAAATGAATAATAAACTGCATGGTTCATCACTTTCGTTTAAATTTTGTACACTTTTACTCACTAAATTAAAAAATATAATATTTAGCACTTTTATTTTTATTTAATTAATATGTAGTCACTAAAAGTTAACTGTTGTTAGACTTTTAACGGATCGTTGATGTTACATAGTAAATATATAAAACTAAAAAAGATAAACTAGACAAATAGACACTAATATTTGAGTAAATTTTTGTTATTCTCACTAAAGTTTCAAAAATAACAAATTAGTCAAAACTATTTTTGCAGTATAGGTATTATGCTCCTTTCTATTGCTCATAATTATTGTATGATGTTATATTGTAAAATGGACCTTCTTTATCGTCAACATGAGGAAGTGATAAGAGTGAGAGCTGCTGCTCTCTAACATCAGCAAAGCCTGGCTGCTGCTCAGTTGATGGTTGGTGTTTTGCTCCCTTGTATTGCGAAAAACACGATTTTTTTGCAACAATTCCCTTAGCTCTTGTCCTCATTATTTCGGCATTTCAACTTACTTTCCATCGAACCAAATGGTGATACGTGTCTGTAGATGCTCGTTTCTGTCCGGGGCCAAGTCGGAGCAGACCCGAAGCAGAGCAGCCCGAAGCAGAACAGTTGGAGGCCCAATTCAGCGACCCAATTCAAGCCCAATGACCCAACAACATTATCATCTAAGCCAGTTCACGTAAAATCAGGGAAAACCGAAAAATGATTACTGGAAGTTAACCAAAACAAAGTGGGGAAGGGTCAGTTTTACTGGAAATTAACCACTGAAAACGTGGGAGGAGAGAGCACAGGAGAATAAGGGGGCTCAGTTTTGAAACGAGGTGGGAGGAACCATTTTGGCAGGAATTAACAGAACAAAACACAATAAAAAAGAAAAGGAGAAACAGTGAAAATAAAACCAACGAAAAACACAGAAGAAGGGAAGAAGAAAAGAGAGCAGAGAGATTACACAGACAAAGAGAGTTAGAGAGCATTAGGAGAAGAAAAAAAGAGAAGGGAGGATCACAGGGAGAGACCAGAGGAACTAGGGACAGAAACGAAAAAGAACAAGAGAGGATTAGGAATTCACCAGAAGAACGAGAAACCATCGACTATTTTTGTCGAAAAGCAATTAATTGAACCATATAAACCAAGGGTATTTCTCCCTTAGTGTTTAAAGAACAAAACAGGCAGATCACGCAAGTAACTAAGCTTCAAGAGGTATTCAACCATTTTCATTATTTCAGTAATGATTTTTTCATTATTATTCAAAGCATGTTCGAACTAAATAAAATTAAATAGGTATAAAGAAAAGATCTACATTACCTGTTTGATTAGGTGGTCTAGTTGACGATTAGAGATGATTCAGATGTTGTTGTCGTCAACTGTTATAATATATTTGTCTCTTGTTTGTAATAGTGATTTAATCTATATGTCTCGTATATATTAACTCAACTTGTAAAACATGTTTTGTTGTTTGACTTTCTTATCATCGATCGCTAGTGCCTTGTCATTTTAATTATAATTTAGTCATTTTTTTAGATTTTATTTTCATGTTTATAACATTTTTTTGTATGTATATGGGTAAGAGACATTCACCCAATTGGGTTTTTTTTTAATTATAATAGTGATCATGTAAAATTTTACAAAGCTTGTGTTTATGGCATTGGGCATCACTGGAAAGAACTATTTATTGTGGGCACTAGATGGTGAAATTCACTTGGATGCAAGGGGACTTGGTGAGACCATTAAGGAAGGAAATAAAGCAACAACTCAAGATAAGGGGAAAGGCATGATATTCCTTCACCTTCATGAAGGTCTTAAGATTGAATACTTGATTGTTAAATACCCTCAAATCCTTTGGATCAATCTAAAGGAAAGGTATGACCACCAGAAACTGTAATTTTACCTAAAGCTCGTTATGATTGGTTGAATTTAAGATTACAAGATTTTAATTTTTTTAGTGCTTATAACTCGACCATGTTTAGAATCACTTCACAGTTGAATTTATGTGGAGAGAAAATTACTGATGCAAAAACGATAGAAAAAACATACTCCACTTTCCACGCAAATAATATTGTCTTGCATACACAATATCATGAAAAGGGATTCAAGAAACATTCTGAATTAATTTCTTGTCTCCTAATGGCTGAGCAAAACAACGAGCTACAAATGAAAAATCACGAATTACGCCTAACTGGTTCTGCTCCATTCCCTGAAGCGAATGTGAAAACTAAAAATGGGCAAGAATTGAAAGAAACAAACCATGCCAATGGCAGTGGTAAAGGACGTGGTCGTGGTCGTGGTTATAGTCGTAGACGTGGATATAGATATGGCCAAGGTGGTTATTTTAGAAACTCATATTGGGATCGTAAAGATGAAAGCAAGCATGAGAAAGAAAAGGAAAACAATGTGACCAATAAATGCTATCGTTGTAGAGGAAAAGGTCATTGGTCACGTCTATGTCGTACTCAAAAGCACCTAGTTGATCTTTATCAGTAGTCACTAAAACAGAAGGGAAATAGAGTAGAGATAAATATTTTGTATGAAGACGGCAAAGGTGATTTTGATGCTAGCAATACAACCCACTTTGAAATTGTTGATTTTTATTTTACTCATGAAAGAAATAATTAAGTCCACAAATTTTCATTGATGGTACTAAACTCTATCAACTTATGTTTATTTTTAATTATCCAGGTCATAATTTATGAATTTTATTGATATGTTTTATGTTTTAAGGGACAATTTATTATTACTTTTAAGAGACATTTTATCGTCGGATATTTTAACTATTTGGATTTGGATATATGTTTTGAACATTATAATTGTTTTTGTGACTATTTTTTTTTATTCTTTGAAGAAAATTATGAATATCTCTCAAAGGTAATTTGTAATATCCAAAATTTTAACTAGTGACCAGAGTGTAAATTTTGATAGTTAAGTGGCCAAAGTATAAACTTTTTGGTAAATTACAAATTTACTAATTAAACTTTACTCCTTTTCCTATTTTACTCACTGTAATTATAATTTACTCTTAAATAATTTATCCTTAAATTTTTAATTAATTTATAATTATGCGTTAAAAATAAAATGAATAATAAACTACAAGGTTGATCATTTTAGTTTAAATTTTGTATACTTTTACTCGCTAAATTTAAAAAATATAATATTTAGCACTTTTATTTTTATTTAATTAATATGTGGTCACTGAGAGTTAACTGTTGTTAGATTTTTAACGGATCGTTGATGTGACATATTAAATATATAAAACTATAAAAGATAAACTATACAAATAGACACTAATATTTGAGTAAATTTTTGTTTTTCTCACTAAAGTTTCAAAAATAACAAATTAGTCATAACTATGTTGCAATATAGGTATTATGCTCCTTTTTATTGCTTACAATCATTGTTTAATATTATATTGTAAAATGGACCTTCTTTATCGTCAACATGAGGTAGTGATGAGAGTGAGAGCTGCTGTTCTTTAACGTCAGCAAAGCCTGGCTGCTGCTCAGTTGATGGTTGGTGTTTTTCTCCCTTGCATTGCGAAAAAAATAAGATTATTTTTGCAACAATTCCCTTAGCTCTTGTCCTCATTGTTTCGACTTTTCAACTTATTTTCCATCCAACCAAATGGTGACATGTGTCACCATATGAGTGGTAGAAAAATAATTAAATTAAATAAATTTAATTTATAAAAAATCTTCAATAAGATGTTAACACATTTCACAATTTGATTAGAGGAATAAATTTATTTAATTAAATTAAAATTTGGATCAAATTGATAGAATATATAAGTATTGAGGACTAAATATATAATTATACTACTTTAATTAATTGCCACATTAACATTTTCGTCAACTGTAAAAGACAGGTGACTTAATGAAATATAATTAAATAGTTAAGTGATCTTATTGATAAAATTGAAAGATCAATGGTAAAAATAAAAACACTAAATAGTTAAGTGATCAATTATAATTTACCCTGGGGACTGAAAAATGAATTTCAAAAATGAATAGTTAAGTGATCAATAGTAAAAAAGGAATGAAAAGTGAATTTTGAAAGTAAGGGGATCAAAGTGTAAATTTGTAAAAGTTTAAGGACTAAAAATATAAAATTTTAGAAGTTATATTTTGGGACTATAATTGAGTAGGTCAGCCCAAGAACAAAATTTTAGTGGGTTTTAGAATTTTGATTTGAGGTTTGTATAAAAGTTTATTAAGCGGTAAAGATCAGTAAAATATTCGGATAACCAAATCGAATCAGAAGCTTATAAAATTTTGAATGAAGGAAGTTTGTGGTTAGAAAAATTATATTGATATTTTTAATAGTATAATTTGATGTGAATTAGTGGAATTTGGATGAATTTCCATGTTAAAATAGAATAGTGAAATTTAGTGACTAAATTGAATTTTTGGAAAATTGAAAGGGCAAAGATGGAAATTGATATATGATATTTTTATATTTATTCAAAAATATTAAATGGAGATAAAAGGATGGCATTGTGGTAAAAATTAGGATTCATTAAGGGTAATTTTGACTTTTGGACTAAAATGAATTTTTAATTATTTTTTAAGATAAATTAAGAGATATTTTCATGGAAATCTCAAGAATTCTCATCCCAACTTCTCCATTCTGCCGTGACTCCATAGTCAAAGGTAAGCAAGTTTTTATTTTTCATTTTTGGTTCATTTTAGTGAGATTTTGGATTAAAGTGTGAAATAGGAAAATATTCTACACTTAATTCTCTACAAATTGGTATAGGCATTTCATTGTTTCCTGCTTAAATGGTGAAGTGGTATGGTGGTTGAAGAGAAAGTTCAATTTGATTGAGATAGGATTGTAATCTAACTTTAGGAATGTTATGGAAGCATAACAAGTATGAAAATTGATTGGAAATGATTAGGAGAGGACTTACAAATTTAAATTCATTTGTTTAATTATTTCCGGATCCCGCCAATTGAGAATTAAATGGTTTTAAGTTACATTTACCTTAAGGATGTGTTTGGTTCACGAAATGTAAGATTACCAGTGAGAATAAAAGATTACCACGGAATAGAATTACTTTGAATGTTGTATTTTGTGTTTGGTTAGTTTAGCAGAAATGTAAGATTACCGTGTTTGGTTAAAAGAATAAAAGATTATTGGAATGTATATTTGACCAAATTATCCTTATTATATATTTGTTTCTTAACAAGTTGAATTCTACTATAATATTACTATAAGATATTTATATATTTTCTTTAAAAAAATGACAGAAGAATGATATTTTTGAAACAAATTAAGGTCATTTTAGTCCAAAACGCCAGTAATCCAACAATACTTAAGGGAACAGAGGTAATGATATTCCCGATAATATACCCCAAAAAATCCATTGTTAGTAATAAAACATTACCGACAATGAGATTTCCGGCCAACCAAACAGGAGAATATGGATTTCATTCCCCTGATAATCTCACATTCTCTGAACCAAACACGCCCTAATATTAGGAAGAAAAGTACAAACAGACAAAGCAATTATAATTGAAATAAATGGAAGTTAAATCCTGATTGCAACCATCGTTTTAAATTCTATTGAATTTAGTATTATTAATAGTGATCACCATTAATTTTAATTCATAAAATATTAAAATTTTAAAGGACTTAACGTATAATTATAAATTAACTAAAAATTTAAAAGTAAATTATTTAAAGGTAAATTATAATTGATCACTTAACTATTTAATCCTTTTATTTTTACAATTGATCTTTTAATTTTATAAATCATACCATTTAACTATTTAATTATATTTCATTAAGTCACATGTCGTTAACAGTTGACAAAAGTATTAATGTGACAGTTAATAAAAGTAGTATAGTTATATATTTAGTCATCAATATTTATATATTCTATCAATTTGATCATAATTTTAATTTAATTTAATAAATTTATTTCTCTAATCAAATTGTGATATATATCAACATATTATTGAAGATTTTTTATAAATTAGATTTATTTAATTTAATTATTTTCTTACCACTAAGATGGTGACACATGTCATCATTTGGTTCGATGAAAAATAAGTTGAAAAGTCGAAATAACTCGTAAAAAATAACTTTAAATTGATAGAAGGGCAAAATCTTCAAAAATATATCAGATAATCATTACATATTTAATTTCTGAAAATCTCTAAAAATATTTATTAAATAAAATCAAAATTTATCACATCCATATCCACTACCATGAATTCAAACTACCTAAAATCTTTACCATCACTTCGTGGCCCCCACACTACTTTTTCATTTTTTACCCAGTAATGATCCTGTACAAGCAATTTCATCAATCATCAAGATGAAATCGAAGCCGTCATTCATTGATCAGCGTTGTAGCTTAGTCTAAATCCACACAGTTAAAAGAAATTATTTGAGAAAATATGTACATTATTCTCATTGAGTATAAGAAAGAGAATGTATCAATTAAAATATTTATTTCTAAAAAATATATTTTATATTAGTTACCTTATTAATTTAAAATGTTAATGAAGAAATTTATTAATGTAAGAAAATTAACTCATTATAAAAGTGGTTCTAAAAATAGAATCAATAAAAGATCATTACATTAAGAGAAATAGAAATATCATATAAAATATTTCATATGATTTGATTCCTATTATAAACATATCTGTATGCAATTACAAATTTATCTTGTTCTTCTAGATAGATTTTACTGAAGAGATTTTATTAATAATTTTATTTTTATAATTATTAATTAAGTTAAAAATATTCAATTTAAGATTATATATAATCATAAAATTATAAATGTAAAAGAAAAAAACATTAAATTTAACTTATAAAATATATAAATCTTAAATTTTATTTTTTTAATCTTGTACTAATTAATTTATAAAATATATGCAATTGATATCCAAATTTTATTTATTTATAGTTACATACATAAGTGGTAAACGCTCTTTCTTAAAGCTGAGTTAATTTTTCGTCCTGTTTACCAATTTCTCTAAACTAGGTTATTTTGAACCAATTAATATTTTGAATCAAAAGTCTGCCGCTCATTTTTTCGTTCCTGTCTCCTTTCGTGAACCCGTCAAAAATATTTCGGTTAGTTTCAGGACCCATTAGGCCCGTACGGATTTAATGTGTTACAAATAATATTAAAATTTAAAAAAAATCTCAAACTATAAAATAATAAATATTTGAAAAGTATTAATAATTTTAAATATTTTCAACAGAAAAGTCTGATTATCTCTTTTCAGTCTAAGTCTATTAATATTTATTGAATGTGTTTTCAAATGAAAAATCTAATAATTATTCTTTATATTTTTAATTTTTGAGTATTAAGGCCATAAAAGTACAAGTTAAAAAACTCAGAAGCTAGATGAGTGAGGTTTATATGCTAGTTTATTATATGACGTATTAGAGTGTACGGATAACCCTTCGAATTATCTAAAATATGCTTTTACTTTTTAACTCTTGACTAATCGGTAAAAATATTCTGTATAAACGTTGATTATATGAATCTATGATAATGAAAGTTGTTTAATATGTATAGTTTATGAGATGAAAAGTATATGAAAAATGTCATGGTAGTTGATATGTATATGAAATTAAAAGCATGTTAGCTTTGTTAATTTGACTATATGAATATGCTTAATTTGACACATCAATAAATGAGTTTTTATCACTTTTTCATGGATCTAAATCATATAACCATTATAAATATGTGTAAAATTAAAAAAAATTATATTTTATAGTTTGAGAAGGGGTTATTTGGGAAAGGGGTTAGAAAGTTAGGAAGGTACATTGGGTTGAGTATTTGGAAAAATGGAGTTGCTTGTATTTTAGTATCATATCTAACGTAATGCATGCGATTGCACAGCAAAAAAATATTACTGTGTGATAAGAGAGTTTAATTATGGAAGCTTTGTTTCTTAATTGGCCCATCTCATCTCTCAGTTTGTGGGGATACCATTTCTCATTGGCCGTCTCTCTTTTACTTCCTTTACAACAAGTTTCCATTGACACTCTACACTTTCTCGACACAACCCATGGAGATGAAGATATAAAGAGAGAGCAACGCAAAAAGATAATGGAAAAGCTGAATGTTTAAAGCCTTAAAAAGAAAGAAAGAAAACCACTTTTCTTTTCCTTTTCCTTTCTTCTCATCTCATCTGATATGCTCTAACTCTCTCTCTGCCTCTCTCTCTCTCTTTCCTCAGATCAGAAGCAGCTATTGCTTTGCTTGGATTTGCATCTTTGGCTTAATAATTGAGAGCTTTAATTATCCATGTTGACCTCAGTTCCTTGTTTGGAGCCATTTACCTGCTTAGAGAATGGCAGCAGCAGCAACAATACGAGGAAAAGAAGACCTGCAGGAACGCCTGGTACGTATCTATATGGATATGTATTTTCATCATTTGTTTGCGCTTCTAATCTGATGTTGATTAGATCCAGATGCGGAAGTGGTTTCTCTGTCGCCTAAAACACTACTAGAATCGGATCGTTACGTTTGCGAGATCTGCAGCCAAGGGTTCCAGAGGGACCAGAACCTGAAGATGCACAGGCGGCTACACAAGGTTCCATGGAAGCTAATAAAGAGGGAGACCCCTGTGGCGAGGAAGCGGATGTTAGTGTGCCCCGAGCCTAGTTGCCTGCACCACGACCCTTGCCATGCTCTAGGCGATTTGGTGGGGATCAAGAAACATTTCAGGCAGAAGCACAGCAACCACAAGCAATGGGTGTGCGAGAAATGTTCCAAGGGCTATGCTGTTCAATCCGATTACAAGGCCCATCTTAAAACCTGTGGCACCCGAGGGCATTCTTGTGACTGCGGCAGAGTTTTCTCCAGGTTTTCATTCCTCTCACGTCACATCAACAGTGTTTTAGATCTATCCCTGAGCCTTGCTGCTGGTTTTTTTATAGGGTTGAAAGCTTCATTAAACATCAAGATGCTTGCCCAATGAGCCGTGGCCGGCCAGAATCACAAGCAATGCGACCGGCTTGCATGTCGGGAACAGCTTCAAGCACCAATCCCTCCAGTGATACAAATTTCAGTACAGTATCTTGGCCTAGTTTGGAATTGGCAAAAACAACAGGTACCATGTTGTTGAGCCCTACAAAAGATAATTCCCCTAAAAACCAGCACTACCACAACTTGGAGCTTCAACTCTTAACCACACCAAATCCAACTGAGGTCTCGGTTTCCCCAAAAAACCATGATCATCATTCGATCCGGTTACAGCTCTCGATCGGCTCATCCAATATCGGTTCGGAAAAGGGAGAAACAAACCAGAAACCGGTGTTCGTTGCATCGAGGCTAAAAGAAGAAGCCGTGGCTAGGTTAAGGTCGGCTATGGCGGAAAAGGCTTATGCGGAAGAGGCGAGACAGCAGGCGAAAAGGCAGATTGAATTAGCCGAGCATGAGTTTCCCAGGGCAAAGAGAATCAGGCAACTAGCACAAGCTGAATTGGCAAAGGCTCAAGCTCTAAAGAACCATGCAGTAAAGCAAATTAAATCCATCATTCTGGAAATTACCTGCCATGCTTGCAAGCAGCGGTTTCAAGCAACACCACCTCCCCAGGAGAACTCCCTTGTTGTGAGTTACATTTCATCAGCTATAACCGAAGGTGAAGTCGAAAACGATAGCCGAACAAATCAAACAAAGACTACTAACATATAAACCAATATATATCATCCGTACGTCAAGTTGTTTATCTTTGATACTATTATACACCTCTTTCCTTCTTATATAAACCAAAAAATGGTTGTTTTTTTGGTGCAAGTGTTGTATCCTACAATTTGTGTGATTGACCATTTAATACTACAGAGGGTCTGTTTTTCTGAAGTGTTCATCTTATCATTCAATATACAACAACTGTTGTTAGGTTTTCCTGTTATATTGAACAACGACAGGCACTTATAAACGAATTTTCATTTGGATTTTGTGTTTGGACTATTTGGAGATCTTTGAATGATGAAGAGGTCAAAAAATGATGGTGGGGTTGCCCTTCCCTTTCTGCATTAAACCATATTAGTAATTACCCATGTCTAGTTTATAACCTAAAATCTCTCATAAATATCTATAGAAAACAAAGCACGAGGATAATTAAGTTACCCTATCATCTTTTACGTAAAAGAAATAAAAAAATAAATATTTGTTTTGAATTAATTACTGGTATCTGATCTATTGATCGATTAATATAGATTGAGTTTTGCAGAGGCCGTCATAAGGACAATTCTCACAATCCAATTTGCTCCATTCGCAAACGTCGATGTTCAAACTCCTGACATTGTTTAAGGAATCTATTATCTCATCCCACTAGATTAATTGATTGTTGGTAAAAAATTAAATATTTTTAATAAATTTTGTATTTTATATAATATCACCATATAGGTATTAAGTATATCTTAAACGTTTGATTTAGGAAATTTAAGATTAATGGTGCTATGGTATTAGACATAATCTTATTACCATCTCTTTTTTTAGGAAATATTACATTCTCATAATAATGTGAGATTTTTTTTATATAAAATTGTATTTAATGAATTTAATTCATTTCACTCAAGACAAATAAAATATAATAAAATTCTTTATTTGCGTGATATATTCTTCAAGTATATTCAGTTACAATATTATTATTATTATTATTATTTGAAAAACATAAATTGAAACATATTTAAACACGCATTATATTTCCCATTTAAGGGTTAAAATTTTAAATAATTCATAAGAATAATGCAATTAGGGATGGTAAACGGGTATAGTTTCGTGGATTCCGCACCTCATCCGCTCCAATTGGAGCGGGGATGGGTATAATTTTAGCGGTTAGTGGGCGGGTGTGGATTTATAAAGTGGTACCCGTCGTGGGTGGTGGGCGGGTAATGGGTTTGAGACATTACCCGCCCCGCATCCGCCCGCCCAGCTAAATATCTATTAAATTTTGGACCATTATGAATTTAGGTGTAATTTTAGAGACTAATTTATAAATTTGAATATTGTATAATATATAACATATAATTTAACCAAATATTAAGGATATTTAGTCTTTAATCTGGTCTTTAATTAGAGAAATATTTGGCTCTTTGATTAAACCCATAATCTCACTAACCACGTCACTTTCCATGTTCTTTAGCCCATGCTGCCCATCCAAACACAAATTAGCCGTACTATATGCATTAACATCAAAAGCAGCAGTTTCCATGTTCTTTAGCCCCTTAAAACCCATATTAGGCGCACTATGAGCATTAACATCGAAAGCAACTCAACAATCCAGCTCTGCGACTACATGCTCCCTACAATCTGTCTCCATAACATTCGTAGAGCCATTCCTCTGACAAATTGAAGCATGCGTTGCTACCCCATCACGAACTGTCTGGGAACCAACTCCAACATCCCATTAGTTTGCTGTCAGGCGGGTCTAGATGGGTATGTCGCTAGTGGGTAGTGGGTGTGGGGATGGATTTGAAAATGTACCCGCGAGGGCGGGTGTGGATTTGAAAATGTACCCGCGAGGGCGGGTGTGGATTTGAAAATTTGTACCCATCATGGGTGGTGGGCGGGTGGTGGATTAAAAAAAATATTAGGCGGGTATGGGGATGGAGGAGGGAGTATCCGTACCCGACCCGCCCGTTTGCCATCCCTAAATGCAATTCTAGAAAGGAAAAAAATGTAAATTAGAAATTACATATCGGAAACCTAGAGAAAATTTAAATATAACTTATTCAAACTTCTAACTGTGTTGTAAACGAGTAAAAGTACCATATACTTGTGAGAAAAATATATAATAAAATCTATATAATTTCTTATGAGTCGTCACTTGTAATCACCATTTTTTTCTAACACCCATCAAACCCCAAATCAGGCCCAAACCAAATCATGTTATAACACCCAAACAGAACCCGACTCTGGCCCAAACCAAACCCGACCCGAACCAAAATCGGAGCCTAACCTAAACCTAACCCTAGCCCTAGTGTAGCCGCCCCAACCACTGCCACCCAACTGCTGTCATTTTCTGCCCCAATACAAGAAGACTGCTCCATGCCATCGTCATGTCCTGCCACCACCAAGCTCCACACTCCATGCAACACGGCAAAAAAACAAAAGTAATCATTGTAACATGGGTATAAAACCCCGAACAAAACGTTGTAGAAGGGCTCAACCCTGAAAATTCAGAAAGTAATAAAAGAAAATTTCCAATAGCCTTTTTGTGTTTTTTTTGAAACTAACCTAAAACCAAAATTTTTCTTTTTTTAATTTCGATTTTCATTCGAAAATCACGCCAAACAAAGTAGGAAAAAAGAAAGATTGAAGAGAGAATGAAAAATTACCTTCGGCCGGAGCCTTCACTAGCGGCCAGAACCTCCGTTCGCAGATTCGAACGGTCAAAAGAGAGAAGGGAAGCCGACGAACAACATACTATGGAATCACCTTGATCTAACGACTGTCGGAGTAGATCGGGGCACCAAAAGTCGAAAGGTTGTCGACCATTTTCGCGGTGTTAGACGCCAAATCTCGTAAAACTATGGCCCGATTCAAGATCTTAACGTCGAGGCGAGCGTGCCCGTGAAGTTTAAGCCCAAAAAGACACCGCCGGTAGTGATCGGTGCGGCGGTCAATGGCGGCGTTCATTGCCGGCTTAGGGGGAAGCTTTAGAGAGAGGGGGAGAATTGAGAGTGAGGGAAGGAGAAAATGAGGAAAAAAGGATTTTGCCTATTTAAAGGCAATCCAAAACGGTGTCGTTTTGACACCTGCCGATCACCCCAAATGGCATCATTTTGCTCACACCTGCTACTGTACGTTTTGGCCTTCGTGGTCTAATCCCTTTCACAATTCTCGTCATTTCCTTCATTTACAATTTGGTCACTTATTTCATGATTAATTTCTTATTTGTTTAGAATGTTTGTCCTTATTTCATAATTTTTCCATTTTATGTTTCAATGCTAACTTTCGATTTATTTTCTTTCAGGTCCTCTGACATTTCACCTATTTTTACACTTTAGTCCCTTGTGATGCCTTTTTATTCTTATAAAATCATGTCCTTATTATGATATTTTGCATTTTTGTGAATAGGTGATTATTTAAAATTAAATTTTTGGGTTATTTTCGTATTCAGTCCTCAAACTTTTGCCATAATTTTCATTTTAGTCACTAGTTTTCAAGGCAAATCTCCATTTAGGTCCTCTAAACTTTGCCGTGTTTTTATATTTTAGTCCTTATGTGCTTGTTTTGTTTATTTATTACGATTTTGACATCCTATTGCATTTTATTTTAATTTGATCATCATTTCGGTTTATGATTTATTAACAATTAGTCACTCTTTATTTATTTATTTATTTATTTCATTTTAGTCATTAATCAGTTCTATTTTCTTTATTTAGTCATGATTTTGATGCTATATTTTCAATTTACGCATTTTAGTCACTGTTTATTTCTGATTTAACTACTAACTTTTATTTTATTGCACTCTAACCACTATTATTTATTTATTTACTGTTTCTAATATTCGATTCGATTTTGCGGTGACCCGATCCGAGGTATAACCCACATTATTATGATATGGAATTTACTAATTTCTAACTCTAACTTTTTTTTATTAATTTGTTTGAATTATATGACCTTGCGATGACTCGATCCGGGGTACAACCCGCATTATTACAACTCGAACTCTATTAACAACTAAATTTTCTAACTTCTAACTGATAACCACTAATTGCTAATTTTTATTTATTTACTTACTTATTTTTTATTTTATGTTCGAAATATCGTACGACCTTGCGATGACCCGCCCGGGGTACGACTCACATTATTTATGATTAAGATTAAACATTAAAAATTGATGTTAAAATTTTTTATTGCTCTTTTATTTTTATTATTTAATTTTATGCACATTTAAATTTGTTTCCTTTACTTTTTATTTAATTAATTTCAGCCCCTTAATTTCATTACTTTAATTTTTTTATCATCTATTTTTACCCTTCATTTTTGTACTTTAATTTTAGTACTTTTATATATTTTAATTGCCTTTAATATTTGCATCCTTTTAATTTAGTCCTTGATGTATTCCCTTTTTTTAGATTTAGTCCATAATCTTTTAATTATTCGATTCATATTTAGTCATTAAATTAAGAGAATTCTTAATTTGGTCCTCGCTTTTTCTCAAGGTTCCAATTTAATTATTCGATTTGCAATATTGATTAAAATGAATTTAAGTTAATGTTAGAACCTCTACTTTAGTTAAATTTCAATCTAGTTCTTTTAATTTAGAGAATAATTCGAGTCGACCCTTGCCTAAATTCTCAAGGGACCATCTCGATTATTCGATTCAATAATTGATTAAAAACCAAATAGGGTTAATATTAGAATCCACATTTCTAGGTTTGTTCCTTTAGATTCTTTAATCCTCATAATTTGACACTTTAGGATAGAGAGAGCCTTAATTTACCCTTAGCTTAATTAGGATGAATGAAAATTTGTTTGATTGTATTTTATTTTTAAAACCTAAGGCAATGTTCACTTATTAGGGAATTAATGGTATATCCCTCGCAAGTATGCTCAAGGGGTGACTACTGGTGATTCTCGAAATAGGTCGACATCATTTTCAAGTCCGAATCATGATTTCTAAAATTAAGGCAATGCCTAGTTATTAGGCACAATAGTTGATCTCTCATATTTATGCTAAGGGTGAATGTTATCGGCCTGAATAAACGAATACCCTTTTCAACTTTGCATCTGCAATGATTTTTTAATTAAATAAAGTTCAAACTCAAAATTTC